CGGGTGGGACAGTCAAACTAATGAGAGATGCAGAAGAAATGTTCACGCAGGTTCGACCGAATTCTGCAATCATCCAGCTACATTAATCACTTGTATCGCGCCTGACGTGCGCACCCTTTATAGTCACATGCTCCGCAGTGCAACTCTGCGTGTGCGCTGGCTCCCTCGTCGTCGTTTGTCGTCATTATGAGGGTCAGGTTTGCTCAAAGGACCGCCTGTCACGTTGAACGTTCTCCTACGGGATCACGTGTCAGTCGCGTGCACAACTTAATGCTTTACCGCGTAGACAAAATTGGGTTTATTGTTTTTGTGTCATTCAAGGGTGATCAGCCAGATCTGGAGGATATTCTATCTCATGTGTGACCATATTGTTTTCAAGATCGCAGAGGCCTCCTCCAATAAGATTTTTGCCAAAAGCAGCACGAGAGAGAGAGGAACTCATTTTATCAGAAGAGACAATCTCAAAGCGAGTACTCCACCCCCTCCCTCTTGCCAGGGCAGGCTTTATTTGACAGGCTGTCAGGTATAACTCTCTCGATATTGATCTGGAGTACCTTAAGGTATGTGACATCATTATGAGGCTTGACCTTATCATCTGCTGCCCTGCAGCCAATAGGCAGCACTGGGCCTGAATCTAATGCCCCCCTCCCAAAAAAAAAAAGGTTGGTACCTGGTGAGTACTAGGGGAATTGGTTCCAGTGTTATTTGTTTTCTGACCTCATGGCACACCTCACTCCCAAGGCCACTGATCGGCCACGGCCTGGGGTGGGTTTCACTACAAGACCCGGTTAGGTGGCTTTGCCGTTGGTTACCACACTGCAGTCTGCATTTAGCCAATGCATTGTCCATACGGTCTGGAAACATTTCAACACGTTGTGTGCGTAGTCATCAGCAAACAAACTGAGATGATCAGAGCCATCAACAGACTCAACACGGATCGGCTCCCCAGCGCTGTGGTTTTTTGCATTGGCGGAATTGAAGTTAACAACTGCGACCAGTGGGTTCGTTTGCCGGATCTTCCTCGTTTTCTAGCTGCTTTCGTTACTTTGGATCTAATGCTATGAAGACAACTGCGACAATGCACACGGACCATCAATGTGATATCGGCGAGCACTCGCTGCAGCTCCTTCCTTCTCTGGACGGAGGGTAGACTGACGCTACACTAAGTCATTATTGCCGCTCCGGGGCCAGCTGGTTAGCGTGCTCAAGATACCTCTGCAATTCAATAAATACACATGACGTCATTGACATAACATCAACAATGTACGCTAATCCAAATAGTCTTATACATTGCCACCTATTTAATCTCCAATGCCCAAATTTAAGCAATATTTACTTTTGATAAGCATATGATTATCTAAAGAATGGCTCCAATTAAATGTCAAAGACAAACAAGCAATTGTGTATCAAACCAATTAAAAGTAATTAGAATACCTTGAGAACTGTTCATGTTTTTATTAACCCCCCTCGAAGAGATCCAAAAGAGAAAAGTCTCAAAGTTTGCATACCGGTTCAGCTGCAACTCAATTGCAGTTTTTGAAACCTCTTTCATTATCTTGAGTGGTGAGCCAGTGGTTTCCCTCTGAGAGCTACATTACAGCGTGTGACATTTAGTAACACCTGAAGGCGTCTGCCTTTTTTTTTTTGTATGCATTTAAACAACACATTAAAGCCCCAATGCTCCTCGAGGAACCTGTCACACTTCCCAGGTAAAGCAGATGAATAAACAAAGCGTTGCTGTTAGTGGCCCCCTTTCTTTGTGTGACTTGCTGCTGCCTCGAGTTAGATCCTGATCTCTTTTGTAGACCCTCTCCCAGCAAGCATTGACCTTCCGCTCCGGCATGTAAAGAGCTTCACGAGATCAGAAAAAGGGAGGAGGGGGAGGCGGGGGAAGGCGAGGCTGTGAATAAAGGCATCACCACTGCGAGCAGCCGAGAGACTTCATCCACTTCACTCCACACTTCCCTCCCTCCCTCCCTCCCCTCCCTCTCCTCCGTCTTCTCTGTGCAGCTTCATCTCTGCGTTCAGTGGAGGCGCGGAGAGATCCCTTGTTGGCGGCACAAAGGAGCGGCTCTGTAATAAAAACAGCTGTCTCTGGTGGTCTCGGTGTAATTGGGATTGTTAACGTGGAGAGCTCCTGAGGGAGGCTGAGAAGAGTATGTCTTTGTGTAAAGCACACAGACACCTCTGCAGCACTCCTTGATTCGGAGGGGAGGGGTGGAGGAGGGAGGGGGGGGGAGGAAAAAAGCAAACAAGTCACCTGAGTTATATCCAGCCTTGCTGCATGTGCTCTCTCTATTTTACTTGGGCTTCACTTTTATTTTTAGACTGTGCCGATTTTATTTGTGTGTGTTAAAGCCCCTTGAAGACAGAAATCGGTTCTCGCACGACTCTACTGAGGGTTTTTGTGTTTTTGAAAGGCGAGGTGTGACTGCAACTTCCAGCGTCGAGACGGAGCTTTGCACGATTGCAACGATGCCTTTCAACGACTGGATTGGAGTGATGACCAACAATGTTTTCAACTGGAGGGGCGTTTAGCTGACCACATGGGAACATTTTAAGACGGCAAAACCAGCGTGATTTGAAGGCTATGGGATGTTTCTCGTTCGGAGGCCTTTTTTCAAACTGTGTATTGAAAAAGTTGTTCAATTTAAATAAAGGTTGCTATATTTACCAACATATTTGCATGCATGTACTCTGCTATCGGAACCATTTCAATATTGTAAAATAATGTAAGATATTAATTAAAACTACATCAATATTACCGATACATGCATGTGATTCTTCCGGAAGCATCCAGGATTGCCACCTGCATGTGTTTCCGTTTGCCACGGCAGACCCTTCAAAGGTGATTCTGTTAACCACTCTGACAAACTGGCCTCCCTCAAACACCGAGATAGCTGTTGGCACAGAAAGTAAAAGCTTTGTGAACACACTCAGGAAAGTGTTGAAAATGTACTTCAAAGTCAATTGCAGCTGCTCCGGCTGATTTATTTGACTTAAGATGTACTTGTTTCCCCCGTGTGTGTGTGTGTGTGTGTGTGTGTGTGTGTGTTTCATTGTGGATGAAAATTTCATACACCAATTTAGAGGTGGTGAAATATAAATGATTTCTTTAAAGTTTCATCATAAATCAGCCTGTCGGTAGATGTGAGCGGACACTGATTGCTCCTTGATGTCTCCTGAGCCGTGATCTCTGTCACCTGGCGGCTCATTCGGCGCCTGCTGTCCCGCCGGGGAGGCAACACGCTTCCTGCAGCACCGCGTGGCTCTCTCGCAATTGTTGAACTGCCACGCACGCACGCGGCGAGCAGCGGACAGGGGTTCCTTTTCCACAGCCGCGGGGACGTGCGTGGATGCATCTGTGCGCGTGTGCATGGAGAACGGCATCCTGACGTATTGAGGAGAGCGCGTCTACCGGTACGTTCCCGCTGTATAACGTCGGTGAAGCCCCGGATCAAAACACACCTCCGCGCTGATGCAGGGCGGCGCGCAGGCTCGCGGGCGAGGCGAGGCGAGGCGACGCGCAGCCGTGTGATCAGGATAACGCCATGCGTAATGATCTCCGGTGAAACAAAGGGGGCGATGTGATGTGGGAGTCCTTAACGTCGGAGATTTATATTATTAACACATCCGAGGTGATAAAGGGGTCACGCCGAATGTCTGTCATTGGTCACCGCTGCAAGATGTCCCACCTTCTTGCGTGTGCGTGTGTGTCGGCGTGCGTGCGCGCGTGTGAGCAAGTGTGTCATTATTACATTGCATTGCCTTACATTACATTACGCGTGTCTGTGCGTGTGCAGGTCCGTTATGTGGAGAGGATATGTTGTTGTTCTTTTGTACAATTAGAACAACACAGAAAAATGAAGGAAAAAAAAATCCAAGAAGCATGTTTTCTATAAGAATATACTCTCCATTCGTTGTGGGAATTACATCGTTACAGTTATTTCCCCTTATAGACGTGACGGTCCTAAATACATTAGACACCCCTTGTTAATTACAACGTGACGACATAATTACATTAAAACATGATGTGCCTTAATTAGAGAAGAGATAAGATAATAGCCTGCCATGACAAGCCTGTATATTTGCAATTTAATAGTAGGATTAAAAATATATATATATATATATATGTTCGTTTTGTCGTTCTTCGCTAAAATATTGCTGTTGTTTTCATGCAGCCATGCCGGAAACAATACAAAACCGGTTATCGTTTTCCTACAACGTTGGGTCATTTATTTCTGGTATTTTCAACAAGTTTTAACAAGATAAATAAAATGGTCGTAACCACAAAGGAGAAGAAAATGTAGGAATTAGGATGAAAGCTCTGCTATGGGCCAAGCTACAATTTATAAAATTGTGGAGGCTTTTTTCTAAAGCGTTTATTTTTGCCGTAAGTGTTATAATAAAATCAGATCAATTTGACTTAACGATTGTAACTGGTGATACGCTCTACGCAGGAGGTGTGGAGCTCTCCATGGTCATTCTTCAGAGGTGCGATTGTCTATCCGGCACCAAGTTGAAATCTATATCCAACATTCAACGATAAAACCGTTTCGGGTGCAACAAAATCGGAATAAAAAAAAAATTAAAAAAAATTAAAAATCATCGGTTAAAGTCTACACCTGCTGGTATAACGAGGTGTTGTTGATAAGAAATATTCGTTTGAAAGAAATGCCTTGTCGCGCAGTGCCCATGCGCAGAGTCCCCAGCGGCGGTCGGCGGTGTGGCTTAATGAAGAATAATAAATCATGAAAGGGTTCTTCAGGTACAGCTGAAAAGAGTGCGCGCGTGTGTGTATGTGTGTGCGTGTGTGTGTGTGTGTGTGTGTGTGTGTGTGTGTGTGTGTGTGTGAGAGAGAGAGAGAGAGACAGGGGCTGTTGAGAAAGATAGGAGGTGTGTGCGCGTGTGAGAGAATACAGAGAGGGAGGGGGGAGTGAGGGTGGGAGAGAGAGAGAGAGAGAGAAAGAGAGATAGAGGCGGAGAGAGACTCAGTCTGCCCTTCGCCTCGGAGCTGAGGCAGTTTGGGTCCCCGCAGCATTCAACGTAGTCGAAGAGGTGCAGCACAGAGAGTGTCACCGCCATCACTTCTCACTTACGCTCGTTTTCAAGACGGAAACTTTTTTCACACGAAAAAAAACAAACAAAAACCCCAAGCAGGTCAACGAAGCGGCAGGTGTTTTAAACTTGAAGGGGTTTTGGAAAAATCCTAAGAGACGGAAAGAAACTTTTCCTTCTTTTTGGTCTGGTCCGTCGTCCAGGAGGAGATCCGCCACCAACAACAAAACAATCCAAGGCAAAAAACAAAAAGAGAGTAGAGGTGGAGACGGCTGCAGCAGAAAACGACAGGTTGTTTTGGTCCTTTTTTCTCTTTTTTTTTTTAAACAATCGTGCCAATCAAGTCCACAGCGGGGGGGAACTAGGTCCGCGCTGCGCTCTGTTGCATGGCTTGTTGGTGCCCGCGTTATCCCATTTGCCCCCAAAAGACGCGCCGCCTCCGCTGCAGTATTAATAAATAGATGTGAAAACTTCAGCGTTTGGACGACCGTCTTCAGCCGGCACTTTATTCGACAGTGACTCGAGATCCCGTCGAAGCAACTGGGGGGCTTCAACTCTCCGAACCGAGGAGGCGGAGTCTTAACTTATTAAAAAGGAACTTGCTGAGGCTCCGACGCCCGCAAATATGATGATGATGTCTCTGAACAGCAAGCAGCCTTTTGCTATGGCTCACGCCAGCTTGCCCGAACCCAAGTACTCGTTGCATTCCTCGTCCTCCAATTCCAATGCACCGTCGTCCTCCTGCTCGTCCTCCCGACACAGCAACAGCATCATCAGCAGCAGCGGCAGCAGCAGCTCGGAGGCGATGCGCAGAGCCTGTCTCCCAACCCCACCGGTACGTATTCTGCATAATCACTGCTTAAAGGCACATTTTGACAGCCCACTTTTTTTTTTTTTTTTTTTTTGCTTGATGTTTTTTTCATGTCTGCACAGCAAATCCACACCTCCATATTTTTTTTCCTCCTCTCTTCTCTGCTCAACTTATGTATTCATTCGGCTTTGCCTTGCGTATTAATTTTTATGACCTGGGATGTTGCATGTGTCTTGTTTTGTGTGCCCCCCTTTTTTTTTTCTTTTTTTTTGATTCCTTTTTTTTTCCACATTCTGGAAATGTTTTAAACCGAGGAGTGGAGGGAGAATTCCCTGCTGACAGCTATGTGTGCATTCTATTTGCAATTGCAGAGCAATATATTCGGAGGCTTGGATGAGAGTTTGTTGGCCCGGGCTGAAGCTCTAGCGGCGGTGGATATAGTCTCGCAGACCAAGAGCCACCACCACCCTCCACATCACAGCCCCTTCAAGCCGGACGCGACCTACCACACCATGAACACTCTCCCCTGCACCTCGTCTTCCTCCTCCTCCTCCGCGGTGCCTATTTCTCATCCGTCCGCGCTGTCCGGCCACCACCACCACCACCACCATCACCACCACCACCAGCCTCACCAGGCGCTGGAGGGGGACCTGCTGGACCACATCACCCCGGGACTGGCACTAGGAGCCATGGCGGGGCCGGATGGCTCGGTGGTTTCCACGGCTGCGCACCCTGCCCACATGGCGGGCATGAACCACATGCACCAGGCGGCCATCAACATGGCTCATGCCCACGGGCTACAGCAGCACATGGGCATGAGCGACGTGGACGCGGATCCGAGGGACTTGGAAGCCTTCGCGGAGAGGTTTAAGCAAAGACGGATCAAACTCGGGGTTACCCAGGCGGATGTAGGGTCAGCTTTAGCCAGCCTGAAGATTCCTGGGGTGGGCTCCCTCAGCCAAAGCACCATCTGCCGCTTCGAGTCCCTCACGCTCTCCCACAACAACATGATCGCTTTGAAGCCCATCCTGCAAGCGTGGCTCGAAGAAGCGGAGAAATCGCACAGGGAGAAACTTAATAAGCCCGAGTTGTTCAACGGCGCGGAGAAGAAGCGGAAGCGCACGTCGATAGCGGCGCCGGAGAAGAGGTCGCTGGAGGCCTACTTCGCCATTCAGCCGCGTCCCTCCTCGGAGAAAATCGCAGCGATCGCAGAGAAGCTGGACCTGAAAAAGAACGTGGTGCGGGTCTGGTTTTGCAACCAGCGGCAGAAACAGAAACGAATGAAATACTCGGCATGCGTCTAGAATCGCTTTAAACCACCAGACACAAAAAGACTTGGAACTGTTTTAGAGACGATGTGTATCATATTTCCTATCCCACAGCCTCCCCCCCCTCCTCCTCCAATCATCGATGACTTTGTGCTTTTGAACTTTGAAAAAAAAAAATCCTTAAAATTGAACAATGACTGAAAAAAAGCTCGACCCCCCCCAAGAGGGAGACGTGGAGTCAAGTAAAGCATCGTTTGACAGAGCAAGTAAGACCACTGTTTCCACACTTACTATACTTCACCTTTCTAATGTCAACGCAGTATGACTTTCAGGACTCTATATGCTTTCATTTTGATTCATGTGTCATTTTTAAACGAGGAGTATGGTTTGCGTTGGCAGAACTACCCCGTTCAAAACAGCTTTGTTATTTACACACGACGGGGCCAGTTTAACTCGAAGCACTTGGTTGATATTGTTGTTTATATCTTTGGCTTATAGGATAAGCTACGTCCCCCCCCCCCCGAGTTCATGGCGATGCAGTCTGACATTTAATTCAGGGTCCATGGAGGGGATTAAGAGGATAACACTGCTTGGTGTTGAAAGCTTAATATTCGATTACTGCCAAATAACCCCTTTGTAAATGAATAATTTATTTGTCACACACTTAATTTTGTGTCTAAATGTGTAATTAATTCCACGTATTTTGTTACCATGCGTGATCAAGGTTAGGGATCTATTTTCAAGATACCCGGGTTTTGGATGATAATAGGGTTGTTTATTATGAGGCCTCACCATTTGGACTTATCGAAATAGTGGCTCACGTGTAAGGATTTCACACAATCTCGCGATTAAAAAAATATGATTCCTTGACGGCTGCAATAAGTTTACAATCCAGCGTGGGCCGGGGATCTTATGAACAATTTATTGAGTGAGGTCATGTTTACTTCATTATATATTTATTGGGATTCCCACCCCCACCTCCTCCTCTTTTTGCTTGAGAAAATCAAATTCTGACAGCAAGTTAAGCGTGTTGTTCTGGTTCAAAGGGAAACGACTGTGAAACGTGCAGTCACAAATTCTAGTTTACAAGTTCTAACATTTGAGATGGTACAATCGAGATATATATGAGATAGTATTCTCTTTTTAAATTATTTTATGTATGTTTTCTGCTATTTATTTGTATAAATATACTCGCATCATTATGAAGTCGTTGCTTGTTAAAATCACCTTGTTTAAGTAATGTTTTTTCTTGAAGACAAAAAGAAACAGCTTCATGGAAGTATACGTGTACAATGTAAATATTTCATTGGAACCAGTCGATGCACATAAATATATCCGTACAGGTTTTTGCTGTATTGCTGTTTTAGCTGAGGTAACTTATTTCTGTAATGTATGTTGCTTTTGGTTCCTGGTTAAATAATTCTATTAATTTATTACATCCATGTACTTTTAATTTATTTAATTATTGAACTGGAATATGTGTTTCATTAAAGAACAAAACTTTAACATTTAATTGGACGTTTTCCATTACTGCACTGTGTAATGTGGCTATCCCAGACATACTATTATTATTTTATTTATTCATCTGTTTATTTATTGATGAGGAGGCTGGGAACGTTTTAGCTGTGGGCTGCACAGCTTTTAAAAAGACGTTTTGCGGATTCTTTTTGGCTCATCTGCCTACAAATGTTGCCATTTTGGTTTTGTGGGTAACGTGAGTTTGCCGTCACCGGAAAAGGTGTCAGGTGTGATGTTGAAAACCCGCCATGAGCCCTTTCACGGAGCCCATGAGCAAGACACAACAACAAACCGACCCCCACTCCAAACCGAATCTGCTCTCCCACTGTCTGGGTACCATATATTAGAGGCGTATGACTGGAATGAAAATGTAAAACGTAATTGGAAAAAGCCATTTCGCCTGAACACCATCCTCCTAAGGGCCTCGTCATAAAGCAGGCCCTGCAGGAGCCCTCTTTCCCCCTCCATTCCACCAATGTTAAAGACGCACGTGGCTCCTCCACTGCACTTGCTGCCAGCTTACGCGGCTCACTGTTGCCTTACCTGAGAGCAAATGCTAATATTCTATTAGAGCCTAATCAGAGGGTCTACGGAGAGCTGGATGGGTCCCTGGAGCGCCGACTTGCCAGATGTCAGCCCGCCAGAAAAACAGCCCGCCTGCCAACGTGCCCGTCTCTGTTTTAAATACACACTCAAGCATGCTTCGTTCGAGCATGCGGGCTCGCAGGCTTCAGAAGCAAGCCCTCAGGTTCCACGTTATCGTGGAGGGTAACCAAAAAAAAAAGAGAAGACAAACGCATTTTGAATGTTATGTCCCTAACAGAGTTGCTGTTGGGTTGAGCGCTTTGGAGCCTTTCAGCACCATGGACAGATACCTGAGCGCATTAGCATTTCTCTAAGCTGTCCTCCACGTTTACACTGATTATTTACACCCACCTGGAATACATTTGCATGGCAAGTAGCAGTTTCTTTTTAGCATGATCACAAAACATATGACTATATATATATTTATGAAAAAAGCATATATTTACTAGTCAATTAGAAGCGTTCAACCTCCCTTGAATGTTTTGATATTACCATATTTTAGTATGGACCTACAGAATCTCCTAACAGTGTCTGATGAAAAGACTTTGGATTATTTATATATATATATATATATATATATATATATATATATATATATATATATATATATATATATATATTATTCTCATAGTTAAATCATAGATTAATTCATTATTCTTCAATATTCATCCAACAACAAAAAAACATTTGAATAAAATAGCTACTGTAAGGAGACCGCCTTCATAATACTGATCCATAAACCAAACATGCTCAAGCGCCATCATTGTGACAAATTAAAAGTATCAAAACGAGCCTTATTAATGAGACAGCGATGATGGTCCATCAATTAAAAGATGCTCCTGGTGAGTGCTTCTAATTTCCCCTAAATGAGCCATTCACTTAATACGTTAATAGAAGCGAATTATTAAATTACACATCGAATTATAAAAAAATCCCAGATAATTATGAAGAGCGTTAAGTAGGCATTAGCTATCCCTGTTAATTACCGCTGGTCAGGGAGGGCTGCCGCGTGAGTGTCTCTTCGGGAATTGAAATGAACTTTATGCAGGAAGCTTCACTGCTGCTCCACAAGCACACACACACACACACACACACACACACACACAGTCAGACAGACAGGCAGCTTCTCAACCTGTCTGCTCCTGCTTGCTTTCACGTTCACATATTGGGAGAAAATCGATCTGGGATTCTTTGATAGCGAATCAATGTGGCCCCCAGTACTGAAAACACACAGACACACTCACGCACGGAGCAGAAAGGCCTCAGTAGCAATAGAAAATCGAAGGTATATATATATATATATATATATATAAATATATATTTTTTGTGCATGATACATATATGAAGAAAACAGTTTACCCTAAAGCCACAGACAGATTTTCTCCCATCGTGTCGTATTTGCTCCATGCATTCACATGTATAAACACGACACCATGGGAGCGTTCTACCAAACGAAAAGGGCAGCGCTGTTTCCTTTTGTTATAATTATGCCCTCTGTTTTATTTTTCTCTTTCCCCCCGTGAACACCCCCACCCCCCCACCCCACCCCAACCCTCCCTTGTCTTTCACATGGGGTAGCTGATGAAAATTTAATGAGGCCAGGGACTGTCGGAGCTCCGCCTGGGGACCCGAGAGTAGAATATTTTAACTGTACATTTACGCCAAGTGTCTGCCTTCAAAGACGCGACTGCTCCCGGATTAGACGACGTGAACACGCCGCGAAGAGAGCGCGCGCCGTGCGCCACGCGAACCCCTTTTATTTATCATCTGTTGGCTCCTCGCGCCGCCGCCCGTCAGATGACCGCCGATCGGCGGCGGTTGATGCAATTTTAATCAGCCATCGACGGTCGTTAGTTTGTTAAGCGTTTCCCAGAAACGAATCGATGGAGCAACGTTGGGCGACTGGGAGGATTTCATTGGGATACTTTTTATTTTAGGATGGCATGCAAAAAAAAAGGAGGCTGCCAATGAAACAGCTCCATCTCCAGCTCTCTCTCTCTCTCTCTCTCTCTCTCTCTCTCTCTCTCTCTCTCTCTCTCTCTCTCTCTCTCTCTAATACTCGCACGCGCACAAACGTAACAACACGCGCACACTCAGGTTGATGCCTCAGCAAAGATTGTAGCCAATCAGTCGTTTAAGGCTTGACACGGATTACTTTATAGAAACTTCGGGAATTTAAAAGATTCTGTTGGTATCCAAGAGGGAGTGTTGTTTTTTGTTGCAATATGTGTTGCCATAAACGTTTAAGCGAGAAAACATTATTTATATTTAAAAAAAGGCCTGTGCTGTCTAAACTTTTTATTTAAAATGTAACATAAGCTGTGTTTCCAACATTGGATAGTGTCCAGACATGCAGAATGCTTTCCTTATTAATAATGTATGACGTCAGTGTCTTTAATTTGGACTTCCGTGATCTAACATTACGTTTTTTCTTAAATAAGTAAAAAGAAGATTTTTTCCGGATGCATGGTTTACATGGTTTTTAAAATACCAATTGATAATTATTTAGAGAAATGTTATAAAAGAAAAAAAAAAAATCTAATGCCATTGGAAACGTCCCGAGCTTCATAACTGAAACAGCTCAGGGGCGTGATTAGAAGGAGGGTGCTGAGAGGCCATGCTCACCGCTGACATGTGGCTGCCACCAAAATAATGACTTAACCATGTTCCTACCCTTTTCCCTTGAGCTATTTAATATATTTCACGTTAGAAACCTAACATTTTGTTTAATTTCTGTATGTTCCAGCGGTATGATCCTTGGTTTTCTTGATTATTATTCTGTGTCCACACAGTTGATGCCATTTTATGAATTTGTAGATTTTAATTTTCAACGTGAATCAAAATGAATTTTAAAAAACGCTTTCGCTTGAGGCGGAATACTGTCTACATCGCGGCTAGACTGTTGCAACGCAGCCATCTCCAGCCAGTGTGTATTTAGTAAATCTAGCAATTTGGAGTTTATCAATATAGATTTTTTGTAAGCTTTTGCAATACACTTTCTTACAGATAGGGGATTGTGAAAAAACAAAAACCAACTCCATGCACTATTACACCATGGGGTCAATATGCAGGAAGAATTGCCCTCTGAAGAGAAGTATTTAGTACATAATATTATTATTGTTTGATGATTTTGTCATCTGACAAATGTGCTATTGTGCTGTTTACGAACATAATTTATCTGTTATTTTCAATGGGAGACATTTTAAGGGGACATTCTTCTCTCAGATGAAGGAATACGGTTTGCTCTATCTAGAAAAGTCAAAAGTCTTTGCATTAGAAAAAGCTTTTGGGTCATTCCACTTTTACTGTAGCTTAATGGACAATTGCATTTCAGATCAGAAACAGTTAATTATTCAGGGCGGATGAGGCAAACTATGGATTTTAAAAAGTGAGGGCCAAATTCTCATTCAAAAAAATAATTTGGATGACTTAATTGTGCGATCTTTTTTTGTAACATAAAATATTCCATGATAGTTAAAAAAAAATCTTCTGTTCATTGATAAATAAATGTAAAGACTAAAAAGTCTTTGGGGAACTTAAGGGACATCTGAATAATACATGATAACGTTTAAGACAGGTTTCAGTAATTTTAACTTTGACAAATCCCCATTTGTATCCCCAATTTAACATCCCAACATCACACCGTGCTCAAAGCCCAAAAAACTGGCGGTGTGACTGAATCACGTCAAATTACTGATCAGCAAAAAGAAGAAATTGCAGGATTATCTCATGTTACATAAAATTTAAAACATGATTTGTGTCGCCGTACTGTACATAAAGCTTACTGTGTCAAAAATTAAAGACGTTTGTTAAAAAACAAAAAAGACCCCAAAGAAATGGTTATTTCTACAGCTCGGCGACGGATCAATCACTCAGATGGGAGATTCAATCTGGATGCATAATCAGTGCCGTTTATGGGCAAAGATTACACAGACATACAACAGGACCTTTGACAACAGAGATCTATATCTGTGTATTCTCCATAATGTGTGTGAATACAGAAGCTATTAACTAAATGTGTTCGCCATTTAATCCAGTCACACCACGGTACACTCAGGTATGCATTATGACCTAATGTGTAAATTGATGGCATCAAAGTGCCTTCAGCCATCAAATATTTAACAACATCGGATGGGTGTACACGTTTATGAACAGCCAGGTCTCCTCCTCGCTTTCCCTTTTCCCACCAGATCATCCTTTTGCTGCCGCCGAGTGCTCCGACTCGCTCCTTCTCAGAAGGCGGTTTTGGTGTTCCGAATGAGTGAGCTGTAGATCTGGCAGAGATTGGACCTTAATAAGAAGGTGGTAGAGCTGTCTGCTGGATGTGTGCTCATTGGGTTTTGACAGCCGTGCTCCGTTGCAGATCTATTAATCATACCGACAAAGGAGTGCTACCCCCCCCCCCTCCCC